CTGGAAAAAATTATCTGCTGCTTGACGTTTCTTCTTCAACAGACATAATGTTTCTCTTTTTTTCCTTTTTTGAATGTACTAGGCCTACAACCATGGGCAAGCAGCCTTAAGATTGCCCAGAAAGCCACCTCTGCTGACCGTCTAAATTTGCAGATTCCAGCAGCATCCAGACTGGGTTTGAAATCTGCTTTTGAGTTTTCAGGCCTCCTGCAGCCCCCCTCATTTCTGGCTGCTTCCTTCCCCATAGGTATCATCCGCCCCTGAATGCTTCCAGAACTCCCTTATGCTTTCTCTTCTCACACCCACTGCCTCACTGCTCTCGCTGTTTTTCTCTGCCAGCGTCAACAGGGTGCAGACCAACTCCTAGAGGCTCTGCAAAGAAAACCAGGATATAGTTCAGCACACTCACAGCGTAGTTAGCAGAGATAACTTTGTTACTGAGTTGAAGGCTGTTCAGAATGTAGGTAGGGACTTGAGTGGCTCCAGCTAGCTGGTGATAAAAAGTTACGCTTAAGGTAAACATAGGCGCAGGATGCAAGGTCACTTCCAACTCTGCCGTGCTCGAGCAGTTGCAGAAGAGACCTGCAGTCGCAAAGAGAAGTGAAAACATCACACCAGGAACAGCTCTAAAATAGGCTGGGAAGGGAGGAGAGGGTGGTCCACGTAACTGAACAACAGCAACGGCAAAATTAAGCATCTCAACATAGAAAACTGTCAGCCCGCAGCCGAGAACCGCAACAGCTGGAGCAGCAATACAGCACGTCTGCAGCAGTTGCCCAATGTCTTGGCCATTTAGCAGTTTATTTAAGTAGGACACCAGATAAAGAATACTCATTGAGTAAGATTCAGGACACCAAGCTCCATAAAATAAACATTAGAAAATGCATTTATTGACTGAGAGTTCAGCTGGGATCCATTTATAAAACGGAGGTAAATTTTACAAAGCTCCTTGACTTTCAGCATCACCGTGACAACCAACCACCTGTGGAATGAATGAAGGTGCCGATTACCGGGTAACATGCAGACACTGGTGCTGTGACTTCCCAGTTTTGCTGAGCTTTCTCAACATCTAGAAGCACACCTCCTCCTCCAAATCTTGGACAATTATGCCAAGTTCTATTGCACATTTTGTTTATTAAGATAACAAACCTGAATCAACTTGAATATATTTCCTGACATGACATATCAATTTCAACAGTCTTAGGCAACGAACTCCAAGGAATTAAAATAAATATTGAACTCCTGTCAGGCCTTCATACGGGCTGCCTTGAAGAGATACCCTTCTGAACGTATAAATACATACTGTAATGGTTGATTTAACAGACTTACTTCCCTTTCCCCATTAAGGCTCTCCTAGACAGCACGTAACTGAGCCTTAAATAATCCTCAGCGCTTCCATACCCAAAAATCACCCCCCAAGACAAATGATTTAAATGAACTTCTGCCTGTTCAAGTATTTTGCACTGGCCCCAGTTCCAATGAAATCACCAACTCCTTCCCTTTTCACCTGTTCTCTCTCATCCGTTCAAGTATTTTGCACTGGCCCCAGTTCCAATGAAATCACCAACTCCTTCCCTTTTCACCTGTTCTCTATCACCCCCTCCACCCCCCAACCCCACCCCCCCAGCAACAGCCTACACAGTCAGGAAAATTTACAGTCCCCTAAAGAACTGTGAGTCTTGGGGAGCAAGGAAACAGCCTTCCAAACTGGCTTTGTACCCAGTCTTGTTCCCCTACTGAAAACAGAGGGAATGCCCTCTTGATTTTGCAAGCTTTGTATGATTACTTGCAAGAGACATGCTGGCAAGTAATATTTAGTATTGGAACCGAGCCCAGTCAAACATTTTCAGAAGAGCCTATGTGAAGTGCTGATAATCACCACTCTGATCAACCACAGACCACCTTCCTACTTTTGTAATACACAACTTTTAAAAGTAGACACCTTACCTCTCGACACCGATGGACAGATTTTGTAACACTCTTCAGATATTTAAATCAGAATTTTTTATACTTGTTGCCTGAACACTACCCCAATAATAGCAGACAATTTTAGAATCTAGCGATAATTGTATTTAATAAAACCCTTTATAACTCATTAAGCCTGGTGCCAAAACTGGCACTGGGTCCAATGGTTTGCCAAAGCAGGATTATCCCATTACCTCTCTGAATAAAAAACAACAGCAGAGAAGTACAGCTTTCAGGATACTAAGTCAGGGACACTTAAACAGCTACTCTCAATATCCCACTGTAAGACAAATTGAGCAAAACTGTCCTTAGTGTGCAGAAAGCTATATTAATCTTTCACAGTAGGTTTTCTTTACTACCAGTATTGAAAATACGTAATGAACATAAAAGCAGCAAATAAAAAAAAAAAAAATCAGACTAACTTCAACTTGCGTTAGGACAAGGGGTAATGGTTTTAAACTAAATCGGGGTAGGTTTAGGCTAGATATAAGGAAAAAATTCTTTACAATGAGGGTGGTAAACCACTGGAACAGGTTGCCCAGAGAGGTAGTGGAGGCCCCATCCCTGGAAACATTCAAGGCCAGGTTGGATGGGGCTCTGAGCAACCTGATCTAGTTGGCGGTGTCCCTGCTGACTGCAGGGGGGTTGGACTCGATGACCTCTAGTGGTCCCTTCCAACCCAAAACATTCTATGATTCTATGATTCTATGATTCAATTGTGTTTCCCCCGGTCTTTCCCTCTCCCTCCCTTCCAAATTCTCTGTGGATACAGAGACCAAAGTGTAAGCCTTGTGAGAATGCAAATCAAACCATCATTTAAAATGGATTTTAACTGATGCATAGCAGTTACTGTTCATGAATGTCACATAGTCCCTGCGATTACATTCTCTGTAGGGCAAGTCTTCACTTTTCTCTACTGAACCTTCTGATGGAGAATCAGAAAGGAGGAGTGGAATCAAGGAGTAAGGAATGATCATAGTCATTAAAAATATCAGGAATTTGAGTAGTAAACTTCAGCATCTTCTACGGAGCTCCAGAAATAAATGGTGGCAACGTTTATATATTGCAATTTTATTTCATTCGCTCAAACAAAACGTTAGCATGTAAGAAATTTAAAATGACACAATATGATAAAAATAGCAGAGAATGAACTGAGAAACTAAAAAGAAGGTAAACCTAAATGCATGAAAAGTCAACATTCATTAGTGATCATCTTCAGTCTTTGATTGACACTTGATGCTCAATACTTTTTAAAACAATGAACTGGAAATCATTATGACTATCTGAAGAGATTTCAGCACCAGCACTAAGATTTTTTACATTCAGTTGGTTTGCAGTTGACTTGGTAGCCACTTGTCTATAGTACAGGTTTATCACAGGTCAGATCACAGTGTTGAGGAAAGCAACGCCTTCCTGGCATTAGAAAGGATTCCTTAAACTGCCCTCAGCTTAAGACATCCATTGTACAAGAGCACAGAACCACCACAATATGGTTTTTAAAGAACTCAGTTACCAGTAGGCAAAATAATCTTAGCTTCTGCAGTTCATTTTCAATACTGAAATCTCTGGAAACGGTGCGACTGTCAGTAGGACAGGAAATGTCTACAGTAATCTTTAATTCAATCAGATTTTCTGGAAAGAACCAATTCGGCAGTTTGGGATTACAGAAAGTATGTATGTAGAAGCAGCACAAAAGACGACATCTGTTCCTTTTTCTTTTAAACAGAAATCATGTTAATTGTAGACCAAGGCACAAAACGTTTAGTGCATAAGCCAGTTCCTTGCACAATCTAGTAGTTCAGCCTTTAATTTTGGACCACTTATACCCATTCACGCTATTCCACTATGCTACTCCTGAACTCTCCTAGAAACAAATCAAACATGATTTCTGACAAGGGTAAACTTCCTTAATGCTCAAAAAGTCTGTGTAAAACAAAAAGTTACATCAACAAAGATGAAAATGCCTCCTCTTGTTTTGAGAAAAACAGTACTTGACAAGCTTACTACGGATTTTTTTTTTAATGCCTTCAATAAATGCATGCAGAAAAATGTTTTTGTTTTCTTTTTTCTTTTTAAAAAATGAGTAATAAATGGAGTTAGGCAATATTTCCACTGTAGTCTTCTCTTAAGAATTTGAACCTATAGAAACAGGAAATGTTTGAATTGGAGAAAAATTTCCCATTGAAGCCTTTCCAAAGCTGTAAGTGCTGTTTTGCTTTGGTGTTCAGCACTTAAGACAGTTTGTTATTGAAGCATTTGTCCTACGAATGGAGCTGCATATACTTTTAAGCTGAAATATTAATCTCTCCAAAAGTTGTAAGTAAACTTTTCTTTTGGATCAGCACAGATCCCAAAGCAAACGTGGCACTGTTACGGCTCAGAAAAATTGACAGTGCAAAAGGAAAAGGGAAGATTCTGATCCATATTCTTTGTCCAGAGCACTACAGATCCAATTCACAGAATTTCTATTCCACTGAACTGTACCACATTAAAAAAAAAAAAAAAAAAAAAAAAAGAGAGAGAGAGAAAAAAATTACAAGCATAAAATCTGAAAACCCTGGGAAACAGAAAGGTATCATCTTCCCTAAAAATGATTCTCAAATTGTTGACCAAAACCAATGGCATGCCATTGCTGTTTTTCAGGGTTTGGGTTGTGCGGGTGGAGCTGTGGGGTTTTTTGTTGGTTTTGAGTGTTTTGGAAGGAGGGTGGCAGATAAATTTGGAGAAGGGGACAATTACTGTGACTTGATGCTCCATCACTCTAAGGTAACTAACTGCTGTCCTATTTCGTTAAACAATCAAAAAAGGAGTCTCAGAGAAGAGTGAAGCAGAGGGTCATGGTAAAAAGGTAAAGGACAACGCACTTACACAGGGGCATCCTCAGTAATTCAGATGCCTACACATTTGTTCTCTCACTGACAAATGAGTTAGGTTCACATGGGAGTTTCAGAACCATTATGGAAGTATTACTGAATTACAAATAGAAAACTGAAAAAAGATACAAAAGGATTAAGTACTTGGTTCCATTAACATGGTTACTGATAAAAGTCACATTTTCCTCATTATTACACATGCATGTAAGATGAAGAAAAAGTGTAGAAAGTAATAAAAATGTGTCACCTTCCCCCTCCCTCATCCCACATCTTTCTGGGCATAAATTAAGCCTTACAAATGAAAAGGCTACTCTGTGACATGCAATTTTTCTTTTAATTAAAAAGCTGGCTGTGTTGTGTTACATTACAAAAATGTCCACATGCATAAATCTAAAAAAAGCCCCAAAATCTACTGTAAATCTACAACATACTAATGATTTACATTTGACTGCTGATTCGCATTATGTAGAAGTCTTAGATTTGGTAAAGCATTGTAACAATGTAGGAAGGCATCTACATCTTTAAACTCTGGACTGTATTTGCTTTTTTTATTTTCCTATAAAATTGCATGAAGGCTAACTAGAGAGGCTTCCTATCATAAAATTCCAAAATCTTGATATGTCATCACCATCTAGGTCATTCACTTACAAATATTGCCCTTTAAAAGCACGCGTTTCTACTCATTCCATGTTTTGTGAACTGAACTTCTACACATCTGAACTTTTAAATTATTCATGGAAATATCAGATACGATAGGAAGACAAACCTGAGATACATTTGAAGTACAACAGTATAACTTGCTAACTCCTTCATTAAGAAAACCTCTCTGAAAAGCCTTCCCAAGCTTTTCCCTGTTTTTTGTCTTAACAACAAATTCTGAAACATGTGCAATTTTATCTTGACATGAGTAGACTTCAAAGCACTGTGATCTTGTCTGATAGGTGTAGGAATTTCTGCATAATCATTACAGTAACTTTAAGAGTCTTTTCCACCCTGCTGTAAAGGTCAGAAAAAAGCTGCAAACTAGGAGGGGAATAGCATATCACCCGAGTGATGTGTCTGAAGCTTTTCAGAATAGGTTGTTTCTCCCTCCTTCCAAGTGTCTGTCTCCGTTTTCTTCTAACAGTTCACAAAACGTAGTCAGTTTTATACCAAGTTAAAGAGCCACATCGGCTTAGTACTAGTCTTTCTATGCCGTATTCGACTTGCTGAGTTCCTGCCTGATAGCTAGAGAGAAAGAGAGAGAAAGAGAAAAGTTAACAAATCAAAGTCAAGGCAGAAAGCCAGAATACACAGCTGACCCCTTAAAGAAGGCTTGCCCTGCTCCAACAGTCTTATAACGTGAATAACCTATGTGTAAGATCGCTTCAGACAAGTGTCATTCCCAACCAGGCAGTACGCTTTTTCCTCCTGTAAAATTTGTAACATCTTATTTTTTACTTCTGCATCTCCAGCAAGTCTATGACCTTACCTGATGTTAATCACTACCACTGGGATTGTCAAGGAGCATATGTGGGCTCATTTATTTTAATTTTTTGTTTGTTTAAGAGCAGCCTCAGGGCCCTCCCTTATTTGCTCCGTACTGTTCTAAAAGGCTGCGGTACACAGCACAGTCAAAATATAGAGAAAAGCACTGCATTCTCTGTAGCCCCAAACCAGCCAGCTCTTTCTACGACATCAGTCAATGACATTTGATATTTTACCAGCAGTAGTATCAGTTCAATATGACGTGTTTTCCCCTTTTTTTTCCCTCCATACTTTATTGTGGTAGTTACCACAAAGCAAAAAAAATTGCTAACCAAGCTAGTAGATCACACAGTTTTATTTATTTCTTGACTGGTGGACCTTTAAGATTATGCTTTCTCAATGATTTCCCTTAACTACAGAAGACTACTTGGGAAAGTATCTTCTGCTAAAATAAAAATGAAAATTGTGTAATTCTTTTCTTTGACTCTTATGTTACAGACCAAAGAGGAGAAGACTGAAAGCTGGAAGCACAATCTTGGTCTGAATATTGCCAGTCTTTAAATACGCACCTCAGCAGCTCTGGATTATTTGAAAATAACGCACCTACCACCACATGACACAAGGATAACTACAAATCACTCAAATACAGCATCCCTCCAACCACTTTTAAAAGACACATTGGTGTCAATGTGCTATGAAAACAAAAAGCACAGGAGAGAAAACATGCCAGCACATCAATCAGAACAGGTCTGCCACAAATGGAAGCGTAACGCTAGACTAACAACAAAGCTACTTTTACCAATATATCACTCTTGGGCTAGAAACACATTATATTTACATTGTCATGCATCTGTACCTACTTACTCTAAGACTGAACAGCAGCAGGAAACAGATTGATACCTACCATCAATGAGTTCTTCCTTTAATTTCGTTAACTCCTTCCTCATTTCATCTAAAATGTCCTATGGTGTCAGAGCATAAATAATAGATTAGTTTTGTAACATGCACGCATTAGTTTTGCCACCTGTAATTTTCTGCTCAGAGAAATCCAAGTCTTCCAAACTTTCATCAAGCTTTAACCCTTCTGAAATACATAACCCAGCCTTTATCTTCCAAGTTAATACCCCAAACCTAAAGCATCCCTAAAACTTTCTTACTACCAGTACAATGAAGAAGAAAAAAAAACATTCTGTAGAAGTCCTACAAATTGATTCCTCTAGAACTTACAAGAGAAGAAGGGACATACTGAAGTTAGAATATTGCATTAGTGTAATTGCTAAATAAAAAAAAAAAGTAAAAAAAAATTTAGCACATCCTTTTAAAATAAGAAAGCTTTGCTACAGATGAAATGTGATGTGGAATGCAAAAAAGTAGCTAACTAAAAACCACAAGCCAAGGAAATATTCAAAGAAAAAAAGGGAGCTCAAGTTATCAAGGTATTCCCAGTCGCCAAGGGGAATGTGAAGGAATGAAGGTGACGGAGTGAAGTGCCATCCCCCCACTTGCTGTTTTCTCCATCCTTTTGTCTAAGTGATGTTAACTGATGATTTGGTGACAATGTTTTCACAAGCAGAGTGTGGGGTAGTGTCTGTTTCTGCAGAGGAGATTGTCACCTCCTGGCCAAATCTGTAGTGAGCAGGAAACTCATCCAGAAGATTTCAGCTGTTTCCTTCTCAGCTTTGGGGTTAGCATGCTGCTCGCAACCAAAGGTGCAATTACTCTAGCGTACTCTAGACTTGCTGAGTCCTTTATGAGCTGCTGGTGGAAGACACACGCATGGACACACCTTCCCTGCCTGAAGTCATTCCTGGCGTAAGAGCGCGTACCAAAGCTGCAGAGGTAGGTCTCCCAATTCGCCAAGTCTTAGACGAGACTCTTGTATAAGCGGCAAGAAGCCTTGAAGCCGGAGCATGGCCACCAGTTGCTGGGAAGGGCAGCGGCAAGGAAGAGCTTGCCACGTGTCCACTAGAAATAGAGCGCGAGATGATTTTGCTTCCAGAGAAAAGTCTTAACAGAGGTAGTGAGAGTCAGCATGCTGGAAACTTGGGAGAGCTGTGCTTTATGGGATGATAGGATCCCCATCCTCTGTACCTTCAACATGAAAGAACCACAGAGAAGAAGGAAAAAAAAAAAAAAAAAAAAAAGGACCCCAGAAAAAAAAAGAAAACAGAAGAAAAAAGCAGCCAGACTGCCATCAGCAGCATTTAATGGAAGCTGTAGCAAGAGTACCGCAAATCCTCTTGAGATGACAAAATAGGAGTACCCCTTGAACTAGATTCTAGAACACCACCACACATGCTTCAGAACCACCCACCAGACCTGAGCCTGGCTCTAGAACCACACAAAGTCAGAACATGATCTAGAACAAAGATCTAGAACACCGAGCCAGAATCCACTCTAGACCAAATCACTGAGTCAGAACCCAATCTAGACTTGATCGCTGCCACGGGGCATGATCTAGAACCAACCACCAAGTTGGAACATACTCCAGAACAAATAGCTGAGTTAGAACCCACTCTAGAACCTCTCCTCCCTACTCGGGAGACCAGCCTGTTGATCCAAACATCACTTGAGCAAGATTCCTCACCTCCAACTCCAGAATTCACACCCCCTCTAAAAATCACTGCCTCCAACACCAACGCCATGGCCCTACAACCAACCATTCCCCGAACCCACCAAGTCTGGAACCCATCTGTCATACAACCAACCACCGCTCTACAGACTCCTGAATGTAGAGCTCCCTGGCAACAGCAAGCACATCACTTTCCCCTTTTCAAGGACAGGGATCTGACTTGAGCAGAGCCTTGCCTGGAAAAGAGGCAGATCACGTCCACAATACACTGCATGCTCATGGCCTCTGCCAGAAAAGTAACTAGCACCATCTACAGCATACTCCCCAAGAAAAGGAGCTTCCACCAGCTCAGCATGGACAAACATGGCCAAAATACTGTACCAAGACCTCAAACATGACTCCCCATACCACACAACTCAGACTGGCACTGAGAAAGTGCACTACTGCTTTTGCCCAAGCCTCACTCAGGAAGCCACCAGCAGGCCAGCTAGCCCCATCATACCACTCCTCTATACAGGGACACCATGCTGAAATGCTGCTCACCTATGGGAATCAGGCTTCCCTGCCGCATGTTGTCCTCGCAGCTCCCAAAGACCCTGAAGATTACTAGACACACCACAAAGCACAATAAAGCAAAAATACACAGCAGCATTCTCGCACATGAACACCACCAAACACCTTACGCAAGTCTGCTTGGGTCAGCATCAGCCCAATGCTGCAGGCAACCACTGCTCTCAAAAGGACATCTGCACTGAAAGCACCTACCAGCAGCAGCAAAGACGATCATCATAGGGCCTCCTCAGCAAAGGGGGGCTTCTCAGTGGTTGAAGGAACACAAATATATTACACCCACTTGCTCCTCGGGGGGCCCCTGTTCTTAGGAGTGTGGAAGGTCTGCTCAGTCTAAAGATCACTAACGCTCTTAACTGACAGCTCCTGTCTTCATACAAGTCACAGGAGATCCCTTGCCAAGCCTCTGGTTGCACAGGTTTGTCTGTTTGGCACACGTACTTGACAAAGGCCTGTCGCCTACAGGTAACTGTTGCCAAACAATTTCCAAAGCACCCCATAACGTCTTTTCCTCATCCAACAGCCGGTGGCTGCCACCTTCTTCCCACAAGACTCTCCTCTGCTCTTAGCCAGGACAGCTACACAAAAGGTGGTATCGCTGGATGCTCTTTCACCACCAAACTCATGAGCACGGGTGCTCACAACTGATACAAAACATGGTGATACTTGTTTTGCTAGAACTGCTCTGAGGGCTTGTTGTTTGTTTGCTTGTTTGTTTGGGTAGAGATCAGAGAGAAAGGAAGGTTTTCCAGGCAAACCAGTTTCCCAGTTCCCTCCAGAGCATCAACACCATCTGGTGTGTGCTGCCTAATGCAAAAGCAGGAACAAGCATCTGTGAGAAAGTAATGGGGCTGTATAAGCTGCCATCCTACAGTCACAGCTTTTAAGAATACCGAAACACATCCGGGGAAAAATAATGACTAATAATTAATAAATCATTATTTATGTTTGGAACTAGTTAGGAAAACAGTTGAAAACTGGTATTGGAAAGCTACAACCCCTTATACCCAAGTTTTCTGTTCAAAGCATTATATACGTACCTGCTTCAATCTGTCATAATCTAGACCTTCTGACTGTACTCCATTGGCACTGGGTTGCCCCGTTGGTGTAGATTTTGGTCTGCAGTACAAAAACAGATCCATGAATTACTACTGGTCATTCATTATTACAGGATACATAGGACTTCCCTATCAAACTCGCTAACATTCATCAATCAAAACCATAGTAAAGAATCAGAATGAGAAGAAGCATTGGGAGTGGGAGGGTGGGAAAATCAGGCAGACCCCAAATACCACACAGAATAGAAAGCGACAACCAAGAAAATTTTCCACATACCAGAAATGTAAATTACCATAAGAATAAGAGTTATTAGTTCAAAACAAGAACATGTCAAGTAGCAGACAGATTTCACTGTCAGCGGTTTCTTGTTTTTTCATAATGGGCATGAAAAGCTGAATGCCTTCAAATGTTACTTTCCCTTCTCCCTTTTCAACTGCTTACTTATTTCGAAACAGGCCCTCTCAAAGAAACACTCGCACTAACTGATGACTACATTTTGATGATGTAACTGTATGAATTCTGTGGAATCACTCTGGCAGTTTTTCAACATTTGACAGGACAAGGCTAAGCAATCTTATATAAGTCCCTTCCAACATAAATTATTCCATCAATTTCTTTCTAAAGCTACTGAAAGCAAATACTGTAACAGCAGCAATATTTATAAGATAATACTTGGGAGGAAGTTCTAGTGTTTTAGACTACGACATTCAATTTTGCTTATGTAACACTCTTAAGACATCAAAAACTTGCTTACCAAGATTCTTTTGCATTTTTAACACACATTCCAGAAGCGGCAGGTTTTCTACCTTCTCACTTCTCTTTTCTGACCCCCTCTGTTTGTGCAAGGTGTAACTCAGACTTGTGTACTTACTACACTTCCATGGGGCCTTGCATACCTACAACTACGAGCAGAGACAGAACCTAGATGCTAACAGCAGGAACACAGAAATGATTCTCCAAAGCAGGGATGGATGGATGGATGGGTGGTGTTGGACAAAGAGGGAGGAATGTTCTGCTGTTCTTAATTACTTTTTAAATCTTGGCTAACATCCTCTCTCCATTACTCTACAAAATGTTAAGGAAAAAAAAGTTGATAAAATTGCTGACAATATTGCTGACAATTCAAGTTAAGAGGTTTCCCCAATGTTTACGATTATTGCATTATGCTAACATTAAGGAAGGGAAGGTTATTAGTAGGCTAAGCTGGGTCCTATTTCATTGTCCTTGTATGTGGCATCACTGAACAAAAAAGCCTGGCCTAAACTCAGTGTCTCATTGCAGAATTCTTACGTAGGATGAATCCATTAAACACTGCATTTTGTGGGATTTGCTACCTGAAGGTGCAGCCTTTTTATTACAATGGAAGGTGGCCAGGAACCAAAAAAGACAAACCAGCAGGAAAGGCACAGTTCTACACTTTATCTTCTCTCAAATAGACGGGATAACACTTTTTTCAGAATAAAGCAAATGTGTGAGGGACACAAGCAGTACATCCATTGCTTTGATTTTTCCATTTATTTATGTATTTTTAATTTAGCTAACAAAAAAGCTGTGTTCTCACTCAGAAGAATGGTGAATATAATATACTATATCATGTTCATTTGTTCTGACAAAACCACTACCTTCAGCTTTCATGCCTTTTCCCTTACAAGATAGCAGCTCATCCATGAAGACATTGTCTGATTACACTATCTTTGTTCAGGACGAGCAGAATAAGCCTCGTACTGAATTGTCTTGATGACTTTTATAACCTGACAGGATTACCTTTTTATTTGCTAACTGAAGGAAAACACTCAAAATGCAACTCTCAACTGAACAGGGTATGCACACCAAAATGTCATTTTGATACTACAGGAACTTTCTCAGGTTTGTGCTCTCCAGCAGATACTTTTACCTCTTGTAGGTTCCCAGTGTGAAAAATGTTAAGAAACAACACGGGACACAGGAGTTGCCCATTTTTCCTCACCCTAACCTGTAATAGGGTATGCCTGCGTCATTGCAGAGCCTGGCACATTCAAAAATTCATTGAAATCTTCATACACATTCATAGCTACCGAGTAATTCTGGTGACAGGACATTTTTAAATTGGTACTCCTGAGCCCATTCATCTTTTCAAAAGGCAGTAACTCCAATGTAGGCAGTAGAAACCGGTTGATGATTTTTTTTAATGCTTCATGGTCATTTCTGTGCGCTGACAAGTTAGTTATGTCAAGCCTAGTGGCACCCATTTAGGAAAACTGCCAGCATTTAACCACGCAAAACAGAGTCAGCCGAAGGGATTGTATTAACTGGCCCTTTGCTGATGGACTTTGTGCCAAAGCAGAGAGGTGCAGGAACATCAGCTATACCAGCTCAGTTTTTCACTGGGGATCACAATACTCAATTGCTACAGCTGTTTAGACCTAAGTCTACAGCTGTTTAAACGTAAGTTCCAAGAGAGAAATTGCTAACATTATTATTGCTTGAAACACACCAAAATGAAAATACATGATCCACCAACTAAGACAGAAGATAAAATTCAGTAATTTGATAGTGGAAGAAGCTAGAAAAATAGAATTCATCTTGCAACCACCAGAAAAATCTACAGTGTGCACTAATGCTATGAAGACAAATCACAGCTTAGGATCTTTTACAACACTCTTTAGATAGCAACAGTGTTTAGTTCATGAAGAAAGAATTCCTTGCTCAAAAACATTCATTGAGATGGTATCTTTGGCAATTGCTGCTTCATCACGTATCTGATATTTTAAGTGTTACTTGCAGTTTACACCTCCAACTGCGAACACTAACTTACTCCAAGCGGAACAGCACGACTTTTTCAGGTTCTCCACATATAGTTTCTGATCATTTCCACTGACTATCGCTTTGTTCCCATACATTACGGCATTACAGCATTTACTCAACATGACTGAAAAAAGAATCAGTCTCCTCTCAAATGCAATTTCTGGCAATTGATAACAGGCAGCTACTACCTGCCTTAATGGAAGAACCCAAACAAGAATATACTTTAATATTTGAAGAAGATAACTTTAAAGAAGTGCTCTCCCCAGACAGCTTCATGTTTATTTTGCTTCAGATCTTTAGAATAAGGCAGCTCTACCAATCATACACTAGATACTCATGCTATCTGTCAAAAATCTTGACAGGAAAGCCTCTTTATAAACTCTGCCTCTCGGTCTTAAGAATGTATTCCATTTTTGCTTTCCAAAATGCAAGACATTCTTCATTCAAACATGAAAGACTGTAATTTGTAAACTAGGTAATTTCTAATCTCAGGTAAAACTAGTTGTTTCCCCCCCCCGAATTATCCTATTTTTCCTTCTTCAACTAGGTCAGAAGAAAGATTAATGGTGAATGCAGTTGCCATTAAGACAGACATTAACTACTGAAATTTAATGAATGAAACATCCCAACCATTTGATCCTAAGATGGCTAAAGAGCTCTCCCGTGTGGTTTTTCACAGCATTGCCTAACAGAACAGCAAGGCAACCTTGATAGTCCCTAAAACACCTTCAATCAAGCATGCAAGAAAAAAGATTTTATTCATGCCAACATGCACAATACACCACCCAAGATAAGTAGCTAAAAGGGGAACTTTTCATACAAAAGATTAAGTAGTCACCACAATGAGTGCCTTCATGAAAAACAAAGCTGGAATTTGACTCAGTAATTCTGAGGGGCTCTAACACATTTACTTGTGGAAAGCTCTTAAAACCTGAAGGTTTTCAATAACAGTATTTTATGACTACCACTACAGAGAGTGAAAACTGAGATCTACAGCTTAAAATACACATAATGTTAATTCTAACTTGTGAGTATGTTCCCAACAGAAACATTAATTTATGTTTAACAAGTCCTTTTTAATTTTTTTTTTTTTCCTTTCCAATGCAAGGAAAACCTATTTATTATCTCTACTTACATTTGCAAAAAGCAGATGTGAAAACTCAACTGGAATATTAATGGCTATTCCTGTGTATCAAAACTTACTTTTTTGAAAACCTGCTTATCAAAAAATCACAAATGCTTCACTAAATCCTGGCATCTCCAACAGGAATTTGTACCTTTGCAGGTGGCAACTGGCAGAAAGCCAGCATTTAATATGAATTCATAGCTGGGTCTTAAGCCATCTCAATTTGTCTTTGACACAATCTGCTTTTAACCAGTCAAAAAATGGGCTCAACTGGACAAACAAAATGTGAAGAGGAACCTGGTGATACATGTGGTGATTACCAATCCATGTAGAAAAAGTCCAACCCTGAACTGGTCAAAATGGTTATTACAAAATCTCAAATCCCAACAGGATGATACCTGTTTAATGAATCATAGAACCTGTTTTCAGAAGCAAGCAGATTTTTCCACGGAGATTCCCGTCTACGAAGGGGAGAAACACTACCTTAACAAGCTGTATTATGTCGCAATTTTGTTCAGTTTTAGCACCTTAAGTACCATGGAGTTTCACTAGCTGTGTTCCAAGAGTTCTATCTGAAATGTTTCAGGACATACTAAAAGCACATAGCTTAAGTTTTCTCAGTCTGTTACGAAAAAAAAGGCCTGATTTAAACAGGACACTGGTTATTTTAGAATACCTAGCACATTCATTCTTAAGAACAACTCTTTCTTTGTCTACCTGTTTGGAAGCTCTGAAGAGAAAATTTAGCTTACTTGCCAATTTCTTAGGTATGCTTTGCTTAATCCCTGTAAGTGACTCTCATCCCCTGTAGAGGTCATAAGCAGGTTCTTGAGCCCTACCAGGTGAAAGATATCCTCTTTTGGCAAACACAGTATTAGCGTTTCAAATAGCAGCACCCTTTGCCTAACTCACTCAAAGAAAGTTACTTTAACAAGCTGCTTGCCGAGACAGACTTGGCAACTGTAGAGAATTAAGAAAAATGCAGGGATATTCAAGAGAGACTTCTACTAATATCTTTTATTTCTCAGTCCAATGTTTATTCCTTATCCTGGCAGGGCAAACTCAACACTGACTAGAAAATTGTACCAGCAGTCTTAAAACACATGCTATGACAACTTCCAGCAGGTTATGACAACACTGGAAAATAATACTGACATTTGATAAACATGGAATTTTTATTTTGGAAGTACTTTTTAGAGTATACACCCAGTCAGGCTCTCATCAAGCTGAATTCGAACAACATTTTCTATTGGATGACTGAAGACAAAAGCTTGATGGAGAGATTTTCTCAATACATCTCAAGAGAAACCTCAAAACTCCTCTGTATTCATGTACTCCTCTACAGGTCAGAAAACATTTTTAAACAGACCTCAGTAACCTCTGAATTTCACCAGTTGAAACAAGATCAATGAAACAAGATTCATAAAAGAGTTTACAAGAAGCTACGTCTATGGGGACAGGTAGAATGAAGACTGAAGGACATCCCAGACTTCCCAAAGGAGCCTGATATAGAGAGTTGCCCTATTTATTAATCCCTTCGGTTTCCTTTCTTCAATTGCTTACCCACAGGTTATCCTATAGCCAAAGGGCCAGGTCAGCAACTGTCTTAACATGAAATCTAAAATAATCTTTAGGATTCCTTACACAAATTATTTCTGTGACAAGTTCCCCCTCAATGCCATGTATTGATACCTTGATCTGCTTGAAAACAAGAGACCTTGGTTAAAGCAGGTAAGACCTACAGGGGGTTGAGGGGGAAGGAGGTAGGGGGAAGTCAAGGCTAAAGGTAAAAGAAGTATTTTGTTACTCTGACAGTATAGCAGAGGGGACATTACCACCCATGTCACCTGCTTTTTGACAAAAAACAAAGCAAGCAACCAGAATCAAGGATGCAAACATTTTAAGCTCCTGGACTTAGTTATTTCTGAAAGACAGACAAGGATACTGATACAGGCTGAGAGTGTTTACTGCTGCATTTCAGAACTGAGAAGCTTGATGGCAACCTCAACCACAAGTAATGCCACTTAGAGAATAATTGGGTTTTCTTCTCTAATCACCAAATCTTGCATTGCTGTTTCCAACAGGCCAGAATTTAAAGGAGAATTCAAGTAATTTCAAATACAGCATTTGCAAATTTAACATGTTCTTTTATTTTCTCTCCACAAATTCAGGTAACTTTGTCAGATTATCACAGGTCAGAATCCTTTAACCTCTGTACACAGAATATACAGGAATTCTAACATGAACCAAAAGCCTTCTATTTAATGTAAATGCCAATTAAATATACCTCAATAATAAAAACAATGCTAAAGCAGCCATTTCACTCTTTTGCATTACTGAAATGCCTACCAAGACTCCCGCTGCCTACCAAAGTTCCATCTGACAAGTTACCAAAGATTGGTGAATGCACTGAAGGATATATAATGTTTGTATGCTTCTTTAGGATGGACTTCCTTAGATCGGTGTGACACAGCTACTGAAAATTGTCACAGAATCAAATCTTGCCAAGATGGCTTAAATACCTAGATAACCATTCCATGACTATCATAAATAGAAAGGAGAAAATCTATTCCACTAGATTTACTACTGAATATGTGAATCACGGCACTGAATTTGGTATTCCCTTGCAGGAAAATTCAGACTTTAAAATCTAAAGAATTAAACATTGCTCTAGGCAAACATACACCTTAGTAACTGAAGTTATACACCAGCAATTGCTAGGGAATTGTTTTGGGCTTTACTTTTGACTTTACTGCCAAAAATATCACTTATTAGTGTTCTCCAAAAGTAACTCTTCATTCTTAATTAAAACTGCCAAAAGCAGTTTCACAGCAGTAATTTTACACCCGTACATTTTGCTTTTAATATTAATGAGGTGATTTTTGCTATTTTAGTCCAGTATCTTTAGCACCACGAGCAACAACACCAAATGTAAGGAGAAGATGGCTGGTACAAAAGGGAGTACCTGGAGATAACAGGTGACTTGCTTCCATTCACTGTATTTGTTCTTTCCCAAGGCTTTCTTGTTAGTTCTGGAAAACATGAGAAAATTAAAAAAAACTGTCTTCTTCTATTCTTTGTGCAATTTACATGAAGAAACTTCAAATACCTGGAAACTTAAGTCAGGTTTGGGAGGTAGGGAGGGGGAGGAGGAGATTGGGTTTGGTGTTTGTTTGGTTTTTTTAACTACATTGCATTAGTTCTTTCATATTAAGCTACCTCCTGTTGTATTCATCTTATTTTTAGTCCTACTACCATTTACGTTGTGATAGCATCTTAAAGTCTTGCTTTTGTTCTAGACATTGTAAATGCCTCTTGATTCTTAAGCCAACTGGTAGATGGTCTGCCTATACTTGATGTATTTTATGGCTTCAGTTGTGAAACACAGAGTTCTGGAATTGTAACCAAATAGTCAGCTTCAAATACTGGGGGAAGATGTTTTTAAGCTTAAGGAGCTTTCCTGAGCTGTTAATGAATTACATAAAATTAATTCAGTGTCAATTTCAGTGTCACGATAGCAGAGATAATGCAGCCTCACACAACTAGAATACATCTCAGCAACAAGGTATTTACTTCCCACCAAAGTCTTGTCCCCAAAAAGATACTTCTAATTGCAACATTATCATTTCCCCCTTTCGAAATAATACAGACTCAAAACTAAAGGAACATTGCCCTTGGATCCAGAAGAGGCTGTAGTTTACTCACCACCTGTGATACTAGGCGAAGTGTTACTGTGCATCTCTTCTCCCATCTGGGCAGCTTATACTCTATGGGCAAGCACTCTACTATACACTGCAGAAGAGGACTTTTGGGCCTAGTCTATAGACATAAATCTAATTTGTAGTCAAGTTTTAAAAGCCCAACCTATCTTTACACATGCTCATGCTTCAGTTTCCATTCTGGAGCCTTCTTTTTGGTTCTGCTTAGAATCCTCTCCAATAAACTTTGGCTCTCTGTCCTGAGTTTATTACAGTGATCTGAAGTCAGAGGTGAAAGCTAGCTTTATCATGCAGGTTTGTTTGTCAACAGCAGACAGACAGAAATCACAGCTGAAACAAGGCAAACAATTCAGCTCAAAACTGTTTATTTTTTGTTCTTGCATGGTTGAATGAGTTTTTTTTTCCTCCTTTAGTGGTGTCGCCTAAGCCCTTCCTCAGCCCATACCTATCACCACAAATGCCTCATTCCTTACAGATCAGGTTTTCATTCCTTACAATCTGCACAAATTAAAACAGTCTTTCTCTAGCGAATTGTTATTTGCTATCATTACTTACTCAGGACTTTAACATGCCACCGACCTTCTCAATCTTTATTTCAGATTTGGGGTTTATTTGTTTGGTTTGTCCCCTTTCTTTTGTATTGCTAAGCTGGGCAAGCTGAGAGGCAGAAATGCCCTGTCAGAGCCTCATATTGACCAGGAGTTCTCTGGGATGCAGCTAGATACCGAGAAGAGTATCTGAACTGCAGAAGTCTGCTAGCATAGCCTGTGACCCAGCCAACTACAGGCTGCCAGTGTAGTGGCAAGTCTTAAGCTTAATTTGATATACTCCAGGACTTGTCCTGCCATAGAAGTTATTTTAGCAGGATTTTAGCTGTATCTGCAAAACTGAGAAAATTTTGCTACAACTGCAGCTTGCTCAAGGACCACAAGATTATCCTTGTCTAGCTGAAACAGCAACATTATCCAAGGGTAATACATCTGTTGCCTATCCCATGGTTTTGAGCTTGTTTTGTTTATATTATTACCTAACATGTTTTAACATAGGTTTTACATGACTGTGTGTTTCTTCCCCTAAAAGGAATATACCATATACAGAAAGGGACTAGTATATTTAAGTAATCATAGCGCTAACTCTCCCTGTAAGCAACAGGAGAGTGTACAGCCCCTTCACAGAGTTGAAATGTATCAAAAATAAACGCAAAGAGACGACCCAAGCTCAGGACAGAAGAAACGTCTCCCCTTTCAACATTGTACTCTTCCTGACAAGGAATGTGGAACTCTGATAGTTCACCACAACAGCTCATAGGAAGGGTAAGCACAATGCCAAAGAGGTAAATGTTAGCAAGTCTGTGTATAACAATTTCAGTTATATTATTAATGGTAATTAGACATAATTACAGAAATTTTTGACCTGGCCTCTGCTCAGTATGCCAAGCATTCCCCTTAAACATTTTAAAGACGTGTTCCAATGATGAGGCACATCACTATTAGAGCATTTTACATCATCAAGAAATGAAGTGAGATCTCTCCATTGGAGGGAAACAGTCAAACCTCTGAATGCATTTGACATTTTTATAAAGTTTGATGAGGCTTCTTATTATGACAACCAATTAAAGGAACCACTTCCACTGTTTTTGATTTCCCTCTTTTGGACCTGTATTATTATTAGAAGCATTCCAAAAGCAGTCATTTTCCCGAGGCTAATATCTCTGCAGTTAACAGAAAGAGGCAAACTCCTAAGCTAAGGGGAAAGAGGGAAGAAAAAAATAAAGGAGGGATTAAAAACTTGATTTGTGTTAAGTTACTTATTTTGCCTTGCAGTCTAATTTCTTTGGACTACCAGTTGTATCTCAACACTAACAGTTTTCCAGTTATTTCCATCCAGACACACTTAGCTCCTAGCTCTCCATTTTATCCCACAGCCAGTGGCTGCCTGGGTTTTGTTCACCCTACAACAGCGGTTTTGAATATTAAGGCCTGAACACCATCAACTGTCTAAATCATCTAGTGAAGAAGTATACACATGGGCAAGCAATCAGAGAAAGCTAGAACATACTGAAGACTGGTATATTCATTACCTACTCATTTTCCTTCTGCTTCCAGTATCTTTTGGCATGACAAATAGCAGGCTATATGGCACATCCTCCCCCTTTTGTATGCATGTAGGGGAAGGTGGCCAGGGAAGCTAAGGATACAAGGTGTACTATTAAAGGACAGGAAAAGAAAGTCTTGAGTGTCACTTGAGTCCTTGTACACAAGTGTTTACCATATGAATACATATGCATGCTGACAATACATCTTGGCCAGCTACAGAATTGGTGAGATGTAAGCTTTCCTTACTGACTGCAGCAGAAGTTTTAGCTATACAGTTCCAAACTGCCACAAGCAGACCTCAGCAGAGGAATCATAGTTAAAGAATTTCTTCTCCATGCACTTACATTGATTTAGAAAGGACACATGCATGTGAGGTAATCTTTACTAAAGTACTTGGAAGCAGCAACTGTTTCTGTCTGACTCCGACAGTCTTGTACGTCTGCCTTGAAGGAAACAAACTACTGTCCCAACTCATGTCTTGCAATGACTGAGACAACTTGCTTTCACATTCACTACCAATTGCTTTCTGTGCATCAGCCCCATAGGTTAGACACAGGAGGACCCTATAGAAAACACAGTATTCCAGCGGATGTTCTTTTACCTGTTATCTTCTGAAACACTGTTGAACCACGACCCATTCTACAGCAAAATGCCATGCTGTAATCATGGGAGAAGAGGCAGGCTCTGAAATTTAGCATAGCTGACTGAGATCTGTCATTAGGTTTTAGCATTGAGCCACAGCATTCACAAACGTGTGCTACTTACCAGGTGTGCTTGTTGAAGAAACCTTAGAAGTTGAAGACTCTGATTCTTCCTGATTAAAAGGGAGGAGAGAGGGAGAAGGTGGGGGAGGAGGAAGAGGGAAGGGGGGGGAAAAAAAAACCACCTTTGAGACTTGTGACTCTAATGGATTTATCTCAATTGTTCAAATATTTATTTCGCTTTTTATATAGATCTAAACGGTTCTGCTCAATTGTATGTAGAAAATGTGCAAGCACTATGCACTTCACACAATAGTGGTTGTGTGTGTATATATATGGTAAAGTATAAATAGTCTCTTGTGTACACCATTAGAATCTTTCTCATAATCCAGTATTGAATAACATGAAGTAGATAAAATTTCTCAACTCACAGTTTTATCTTCTTTCTGCTCTGGTTCTGTTGATCCCTTTTCAGCAATTCTTCTCCTATAAGCAGAGACAAAAGTTACCAACATCATCATGGCTTTAAGATGGAAGAACATTGTTTACAGCGTGATAGCTAGGTAATTGAAAAATTAGCATTTAAAAAAGTACTTTCAAAATACTTCCAAGCACAAAGACTTCCTGCCAAAGCAACCCTGCAATTCTTTCTCCTCTTAAAGTCTGTATCCCCTCCCCTACTGCTGCACAAAGACATACACAGAAGAAAAGTACTCGATTACACTCAAGTAAAAATGGCTATTCACAAAACGTTATCAAATTCACAAAGCAACCACAAGAGCAAGCCGATGTTTATTTGATCCTTAGCCAGCTGAAAACAGGCACCCAAAATCCTACCTCTGTGATGACCAAGCAGCTAGGGCACAGGAACAGCTCCTTACCTCCTGGCCAGCAGGGCGCTCATTTCTTCCATCAACCCACTGCCTCCCAAGGGAAGTGGTCCATTTCCACGGCCACTGTCTGTTTTAGATGAAGCAGAGCTGCCTCCTCCTCCTCCACTTGAACTGGAGGAGTCTTCAACCTTCATAACATACAAAATAACAGTAGATGTGCGAATAAAACGATAGCCAACTTAATGAAAGAAACAAAGTTCATAGACGAGAAAGAAACAACTGTATAAAGAATGTGATGGGCTGGTAGTACACCCTGTAACACTTTTTTAATAATGAATTAAGCCTACTCCAAAAGTCTTGATATTGCTAGTAATCTTGAACAAAAATTACAACCAGTACAGGAAGACAGGATTTAGAGACAGGAATTGGAAAAAGAACCAAGAGTTGTATTTACCCGTGAGACTTTCCGAAGTTTGGCTCCAGCAAGTGCAGCTGCTAGTCCAGTTAAAGGGCGATTTTCTTCGGATGCGAATCCCACTGAAAATCCAGAGGTGGGGAGGGGGGGAGCAGGAGGCGGAAGGGGAACAGGAGGAACTTGGCTAGGAAGTGGAGGAGGTGGTGGTGGTGGCGGCGGCGGTGGCCCTGAATGTGGAAGTGGAGGTGGTGGTGGTGGGCCAGGAGGAGGTGGGGCTGCTACTGAAGACTGAGCTGGGCCAGGGGGAAGGGGGGGTGGGGGAGGAGGTGCAGGTGGTCCTTGGACAACACCTAGTATCAAAGAGAAAACAAATATACTGTATTAAGGGTTTAGAAAAACAAAATCTCATGTCCATTGAAATATTGGTTCTTTTGCTCAGTGCATGAGACATTAATACTGGTAAGGGTCCTTTTCATAGGCAAGAAAACACTGCGAATTTCAGTAGGAGAGAAGCATTCTTATTAAATGCACTAAAACCATTACATAGTGTGCTATAAGAGATCAGAGAGTTTCAGAGACTTCTGCATACAAAACCCCTCCAGTCAGGTTCTGTGCTACAACCAAGAAGACTCTTACACTGGGAAACAGGCAAAGCTTTTATAAAGAGTCAAGTAAGGCGCAAGCACCAGACCACGTAGGAACAACGCTGCTTGTCCAAGTGGTGCTGAACACCGAGTGACTTCTCACTGTACTAACGAGCATTTAACACACCGCCCAAACATCTGAACCCTTGAACTGTTTGAGTTCCAATGCTGATTTCTAGGCTGCTCTTTCTCTAGGCTACCTTTCCTCTAAAAAATATTCCAGGAATCAACATTAATAATCTAATACAAACACTAATTAGTGAGTTAGAAGACTGACAAATTTTAAGCTGATGGGAACAAGCTCTTCCTTTTTTTATCTACCCATCTTTAATGCTTTAAATTCATGTTAATACGCAATACAAAATGTGTTTTGAAGAAACAATATTCTGGTGATTACTGTGTTGTTATTATTACAGGAACAGTTTAAGAAATTGTGACTAAAGTGACAACCCCCCACATCCCCCCCCCCCCACCTCGCCCAAACTGCCACAGGCTACTAAAAAATGCTGCACAAGCACCTTAAGCAACCTCTACACGCAGGACTTGCACACACAAGTCTTCCTGGTTTTCTACTCTGCTAATCACTGTGTAAATTTAAAAGCCTTTAAAACTCTCTTGGCGTCACTCACCATCCAAGCGTATACTTTTTTCCCATACAAGTGAGGCGATTCACCCTATTTCCAGCCCACCACAGAGTAGCTCACGCCTTCATTTAAGACAGGAGTAGGGCATAAACAGGATCTGATCTGCACAGCTTATGTTGATGAAGCCACAGTCTACTCACCCCCCCCAAGCCCCTCTGCCCACACCTTTAGCTGAGCTACTGCAGACTTATGTACAAAGACCTAAATCTACTAAATCTATATAAAAACAGGATTCAGCTTAACAAAGACATTTACATCTACGTAAAACATATTTCTATCATATTGGTAGAGTGTCCATTAAGACATTCACCTGCTTAACCAAACTTTTTTCCTAAAGTGTCTTTAGCTACACTGGTAGAATACCACGGGAAGACCTGTCCATATACATATATATGTGCGGGCATGTGGCCATATATCAAAATACAATCACTGTCCAGAAAGAAATGCTTTAGGTGTTACATATGACTTCATGAATTTGAAACTACATAGATTATCAAAGTGGTTCAGACTATTCCTCGCTTAAGGCCATTCACGTGTCCAAAGCTGCACGTACGTTCTTCCATGTTGGCTGCCATTAGGAAGCTAATGATGCTGCTGCCTGTTAACACCATGTTCCAAATAAACTAACAGTGCAAGATTTACCAAGCAAGTATTTGAAAAGCTCTGTCCTCGACAGGTGAGAGCTTAAGAAATCAGAATTTTACTTATGACAGGTCACAGAATGCCATCTCTTCTCCGCAGAGCTTTAAGATTTCCCTTACCCCAGTTTTCCAAATGGTATTTCGTTGTGGTATTAAGATCACTGCAACTTTGGAAGCATTGTATTAATTCTTCGGGGCAGTTATGGGCTTTGATACCAATCGGTTTCGACTGCATTCCTGATTAGCGCATTAGTAGCAATAACAGAAAGCCTTACCCTGCTGGGTCGTAGGTTCAATCGGCTGAGAGGCTGCCTGCAAGACTGGCTCAGAAGCAGAGGAGTCTCCCAGCACAGAGTTTAGAGAGTTCTCAACAGAGGCAGGGGTAGCTGCAGAGGGAGAAGGGAGAACACTAGGCTTGGATGAGGGAGTCGAGGCATTCGGGGAGTTGGGAGAAGGAGAAGCTTGAGGTCCAGAGAGTGACAGAGGCGGAAAGGAAGGCAGTGGGGGGGGAGGAGGTGGCGGAGGCGGAGTTGGACCTGAGGTAGAAGGTGAAGGAGCCGGATAAGCCAGGTTTTCAGGAAGCCCGTTAGGAGCCGTGGGAGACGTGGACATTTGGGTCACTGGATTAGAAGCCGACACTGGGAGGACAGGTCTTGGACCAGTAGCCTTGCCTGGTGGACTGCTTATCATTACTGGAGGAGATGGGGGGAGAGGGGCAAAACTGGGCGCGGACCAGGCAACAGGCTTTGTATTTGGAGGCAAAGTTGCTGGGGCAGTGACAGGAGAAGGAGGCCGAGAACTTTTGTTCAGCGGACGAGGAACCGTAGCGTAATGGGGGAGAACAGGGTGGAAAGCTGAGCCTAAAGATGTAGCAAAACGTGATGCAGAGTGCCTTAGAGGCGGTGTAGGGGGAGTGGAAGTCGGTGGTGCAGAAGTCACTACAGCGTACTCCGGTGTGGCCTCTGACATTGGTGCTGAGACTGCTTTTGCATATGATGGAGGAGGTGCTGAAGGAGGCTGGCAACTGGAGTATTCAGGAAGTGGAGTGCTATACGGGGAGTTGTCGAAAGATGGAGCTGGACAGAAGATGGAAAGCAGCAGCAAAGGCAGGATAAAAAAAGGAGAAAGAGAAAAAGGGAGCTAATGAAGCAACAAAACCAGCATTCAAACAAAATGTATAAATGTAGACTACAGTTAGTACCAGAGGATTAGGCACAAGTTAGGAAAGTTTTACGTATTATCAACAGCTGCTTTTAAATTTTACCAACTATTTTTGTGCCAACATTTGAATTTACAAGTACATTCTAGAGTAAGTTTTCTCAAATCCCATCTGTGAGAAGGATTAGATACAGGGTTGATTAATGAGTCTTTTATCAGCTTTTATCTTCTTGTTTGGTTGCAAACTGCAAGCAAGTGTAGTGATCTTAACATTTGTTACAACTCCACTAAAAAAATTCATACTGTAGGCAGCAGGTAAGTATCTTTCTCTTCCCCAGAAAAAGCTCCATCGCAAACTTGAAAGTACTGGGAATAAAACTACCAATAAAATCCTCTGCTCTAAAGTGACTAGCTCTTACGTAGCATTCCTCAACTTTTACCATTAGCTGACTTCTTATGTAAGTTTGTTACTAAAGAACAACCAAGTACTTGACAGATATTCCATTATATTACCAAAATGAGAAAGCTTTCGGTTACCGCTGGATACGTTTCTGCAGGCAGTGCATTAGCTTATCTACAAATACATATAACACATTTCACTGAAATGTTACTACAATGATAAATTAGGCAAGACTTCATACCAAAAGGCATTTCTCGCACTATTACTTTGCCTCATGTAGGTGCATACCTTCTACATTAACACGCTCAACCTGATATGTTTGGGGGTTGGGTTTTTTTCCAAATTATGTGATGAGAATACATCTTGTTTAACAGAGCAAACAAAGAAATCTTAACTCATCATATTTTAACCAAAGTTTGAGATGCCCGAAATGATTCAAGTTCTTCAAGCGATCAGAGAGTACGGTAATGGAGTAAGCGAATCGTGCAAAAAAATTTATTTCAGAGTTAATGGAAAATTATGACAGGAAAGTCAAAGATCTTGGACTTCTTGCCATAAAAAAAAAGGAAGAAATTCCAGCAAATAGAAGCCTGAAATACTGACTGTTGTTGCACAACTCTACTCACAGCCCTTTGTTGCTTCTCTCCCACTCCATCACCCAAACACATAAAGAGTAGCCTGGTACTTGGATACACTCAGTTTTGAAATTCTTACCAGCATTTGAAATTCTTCTCTCTCTTTCCCATTCCAATTGTTCCCTTTCCAACTGTTCTTGCCGTTCTCTTTCTTGCCTTTCCCGTTCAAGTCGTTCAAGTCTTTCTCGATCCTGCCTCTCTTTCTCTTGTCTCTCCCTTTCTAGGCGTTCTTGCCGTTCCCTTTCTTGCCGTTCTCTCTCCAGTTGCTCCTGTTCTAGGCGCTCTCTTTCAAGTCTTTCCCTTTCTAGCCTCTCTCTTTCCAGCCTCTCCCGTTCCATTCGTTCACGATCCAGCCTCTCCCGTTCCAGCTCCTTCTGCCTCTGCTGCTCTTGCAACTGTCTACAATCATGAAAAAAGGAAAAAAGACTAAGCTGCAAAGCAAAAACCAAAAATATCAAGCAACTGTTAGAGGACAAGAAGAGATAAGCTGATCGACAATCTTTGCACCAGGGAGAACAAAAGCACAGCATTTGTACCTACATAAAATTCTTAATTCTACATGTTATTTATCTGAGCTGGATAATAGTTGTATTATACTTACAGTAAAAAGAATTATATATCAAATTTCTTCTTAATTTAACATTCCGGGAGACAGGTTTCAAGAGGTAAGAACAGAAAGCTGTTGCTGGTAATTCACTAACTGATGCAATCTTCCCAGTTTGGGATATGGAGTTACATTTGTTCTTTGCACGGTACTTTATACTCGAAGCAGTGAATAGAAGTACAGTGAAATAGCAGTAACACAAATACTCATGAAAAAACCCACTCCCAAACAAATTACATTTTTCAGATATGCTAGTCAGATAGTATTTATCCAAATTTTAGAGAAGCATCAAAATGTGTATGTGTCCCCTCTCCACATGCATACTATGACATGCAAATACAACTTAACTGGTGGCAAGACAAGAACACCCTGGAGGATGGGGAAAACTGGACATGGTCAGAAAAAAATTCAGGGTGCAGGAGCCAGGGAAACACGGCAGGGAGCTGGCAGGGTTTCCAGCTCATGGGAGTCTTTGCAAAGGAAAGCAGAGAGGGGGAAGATGTGAAGAGGAAGAAAACAAGTAAAAGCCAGGCAGAGGAAATACAAAGAACTTCCTAAGAGTAAGAAGGAATCAAGCAAAATTTGCTGCCAAAGCAACTAGGTTGGCTGAAAGGACTTTCCTGCAAAAATACAGTGGGAAAAGCCATAAACAACCCTTTTGGGTTTTTTTCCTCAACTTGTTTTATATTTTCTTTAGGTTGGGTTTTTTTTTAAATTATATTTTAAAAAGACACACATTTCTAGTTGGCTAAAATACAGCTTTTTGATTTTCAAAGCTTTTTCATCTCTTGGAGGAACTCACTACTACAAGAAAAATTAGGCACATCCTCCTCAAAGCTGTGGCCAGTATGTTCCTGTCAGTACGTATCACTGAAAAGACTGTTAGTTATTATCCTTCATTTGAATTCTTATTTAAAAAAAAAAAAAGACACTTGCAAAGAAAAACTTGTATATAAAGCACACAGCTATTTTTTTTCTGCCATGCTTCAGATGCAAACTGAAGATAGCTTCTCAACAAACAGAAAGCACAGGCAGCTTTTAACTATAAAGCAAAAAGGAGACCTAAATTTTGGCACCTTAAGCTACTAGATATGTGTTTTCTATAAACTGCCACTGGGCAATCTTATCTGGAAAGGTAATTAGTAATTCTATCCTATACGCTTAGAGCCATGTAAAACTGAAGCCTGAAAATGAAGGGAACTTCAGCTACTTCATTCCTATTCAGAATATACCGGCAGAACTGGAAACCCCAGCTCATACACTGTTACTATTGAAGTCTATCCTTTCAGAACAATATTTTTCCTTTGAAAAAAAAAAAAAAAAGACACTTGCAAAGAAAAACTTGTATATAAAGCACACAGCTATTTTTTTTCTGCCATGCTTCAGATGCAAACTGAAGATAGCTTCTCAACAAACAGAAAGCACAGGCAGCTTTTAACTATAAAGCAAAAAGGAGACCTAAATTTTGGCACCTTAAGCTACTAGATATGTGTTTTCTATAAACTGCCACTGGGCAATCTTATCTGGAAAGGTAATTAGTAATTCTATCCTATACGCTTAGAGCCATGTAAAACTGAAGCCTGAAAATGAAGGGAACTTCAGCTACTTCATTCCTATTCAGAATATACCGGCAGAACTGGAAACCCCAGCTCATACACTGTTACTATTGAAGTCTATCCTTTCAGAACAATATTTTTCCTTTGAAAAACAAACAAAAAACCCCCTGTAAAATACTGAAGTTTTGTAATTGCTATAAGCAATTAAGTTCCAGTTATGTACAGCAAAAGGGCTTTTCTCTACTGAACTTGTTACCCAGCATCCTCTGAAGCTGCCAAATAGTTCTGCTCCTGTGTCAGTTCTTCTGTCAGCTCCTGCTCTCCCATATAACCAAGTTGTAATAGCAGTCATTAAGAAATGACAGCTGCAACTCAGCTTGTTAAATGCTTGATTTTTAGCCTCTGAAGTCCACCAAAAATTCTGGTAATTGACTGATACATATTTGGAACCAGTAGAGGATTTCTACAGAATATCAGGAGAATACAATATAAACCACAGAAATTTAAGCTCCAAAAGGGATATTAAAAATATTTTTGGCATTACATTTTTGCTTGCTCCGTACTGTACAAAACTAGTTTTATTCTGTGCTCTTTTTCCCCTCAGATAAAAATCTATTATTAGAGGAAAGCAGGGTTTCCATTTTGGATATCTTCAGCTTGGTCATCTTAGGCTCTTTTTTTGTAAAGGAGAGGTGGATGCACAGATACTTGTAGCTAAAAGGCTATTCAGAGCAGGAGTCAGCATTTACAGAACTCCAAAGCAACTTTCGTTTATTTTGTTCATTCTTTTTCATTCATTTTCCAGAAACGAGCATATTCTACCTAGAAGTGTACTCACTGTTAATCCTAGAATTAAAATGTAAACAAGGCATTTGAGGTTATAAACACTTTGTGTTATATTTAGTTTATGAAACTAGAAGGTATCAATTCACTGGGTTTAATAACACATCAAGCAGCTGCCAGATATTTACATTTTCTTTTTAAGTTCTTCATTTATTCACAGAAATAGAAGCTTGATATAGGTTACTTCTTGCTAAGAGCAGTGTCACTTAGGCAGTTCTGCAATAAGCCATAGCAAGACCCGTGCCACTTCACATTTTCATAAACTACCTGGAAAAGAATCAGTGAGGTGCTCTTGACTAAGCTCCTTAATGTTAAGTTATTTAGGATAGCAAGGCTGATGACTGATTATGAACAGCTACTGACAGATCTTCTAGTTCCAAGTAACTGGGCAATAAAATTGGCAAATAAAACTCAACTGAAATGATGCAGAGGAGAGAAGGGAAATCTGGTAAATTCATATAGGAAATGCTGGACTGAGTTGACCTCTGACTCAGGAGTGAGACATTAGGGTTATGACAGACAGTTCTATGACAACATCCATTCATTGATGTGTTATGTTCAAAAACATAAACCAGATGCTACACATTAGGAAAGGATTAGAGAGCAGTAGAGAAAATACCATCATCCTGCTTCACAAACCCTGCATCTCTGTTTCCATCTCAAAAGGCAGAAAACAGCAGAACTAAAAAGGTTTGGAGAGCACCAACACCATGACCAAATGTACCAGTTACCACTCAAAAAAATAAGTAAAGCAGCTGGAATTCTGTGTTCTGGAAAAGACAACTGGAGCTCTATAAAGTCCTGAGCGATGAGGACATCCTAATACAACAGCTAGGAGGAAAGAGTCAATGCAACTAGTAATAGAAAAGCTAGAAATTAAAAATAATAAATAAATTAAAGAAAAGAAGAGTGAGCACCTCTGCGCATCAGGCAGATGAGTTGTGGAACTCCTTGCCAGAGTGATTCGAAGAAAGAGTAGAGAAAAGCCCACAGAAGAAAAACATGGAAGGTCATTTGGAAAACAGAAATTGCATCATGCACAAGAAGCTGTTGAACCAAAAATGCCCAAAGGATTGGAGAGTAGCAAGGGGAAGTTTTCCAGGCATTTGCCCTGGCCCAGAATAGTGGGGACTTCTGTTAGTTTTTACTTAAAGCTTTTCTAACTATTGAGAGGGGTATGTCCACGTGTGTGTGTGTGTGTGTGTGTGTGTGTACACACTATATACAAAGAGAGGAGGAAGGAGACATGGACGACGAGACTGTCTATAAATGTATACTCTGTCTCCATATAGCATGTAATTAGATGCAATTTTAGCTAAAGCATAAGATATACATCTAAATCAAACTGCTTGTTTGGGATTGACTAGTTCTCCTAATATGTGTGAACATGTTCTTGAGGTTCATCTGGGCTTTTTCTCCTCTTCAGAGAGCTATAAAGACACAATGCCCATGTGTCATAACAAAATGTACCTAAGCATTTATACGCTTTAACCTTTGTCTGAAGAAAAAAAAATTTCAGTCAGCAATCAAACACTATCAGATTGTATTGGCTGTCTACTAAGATATAGATAAACAGCAGTGAGATAACCACTTTCACCTACACAGGACCTAAATGAAAGAGTTATCATAATTAAATAAATATTGAGTGATTAAATATTTACTGTTTTATTTTTGTAAAAGAATCCTCATTTTTCATTTCTTCAGGAAATAAAGGAATGAAACCAGAAATTTTTTAAACGTGCAAATAAAAACTAAACAAGTTGAGCACTTTGCTTAAGATACAAATGGTCTACCAAGAGAGGGCAGCAAAATACCTTGCAAATGCTTCCTATCTTACATAAAATTCCCATGTAGATGAAATACACTGTCCTTGAAAAGTTTAAATTATTCTCATCATATGTCACTGAAGCATTCCTTTGTCAACAAGGAAAACAAAAAAAACCCCAAACAACAACAACAAAAAAAACCACCCAAAACCCACCCCCCACAACAACAAACCCCAAACCAAAAAACCACACACCACAACCCACTACATTTTTACAGTAGTTTTAACGATTTTCATAAACCTTTCAGAAAGAAAACCAGAAGTGGCACAGGTCAAAGGATCAGTACAGCAGTAATGCAATCACGTTGCTTCAACATAACTTAATGAGCGAGGATGAATTTCATAAACTAAGAACTGCAGCTTAACAAGTGTAACAGCTGTAGCTTAAAAAGATTAAGAACTCATTTTGCTAATTAAAAAAAAAAAAGAGGATAAATTTGTTTGCATTAAACCCCTCTGGTTTTGTTTAGTTAGCATGAGATAATGTAATTTTATTTTAAATTTTGTCAGAGATCAAAATTATATTATGCAAAAGCATTAGTAGATTAAGAAGAGTCACTACACATCAATT